AAGTACTTCTTCTAATACTTTAAGCAACATGTTAACACACTATCATATTTCATTATTGTTCAGTTAAAGGTTAAAACTCTATACTTTTATTTCTTTTTCTGTACATTTTCATTCATAATACTTTTAACATTTGTTCTTTCCAGCTGCAGTTAAATGACATCTATAAAATTTGACAAAAATTTCTGATTAATAATATAGTCCAATATAATGATAAAGCTTATACATGTTTTTAAGTCATTTGACTCCAACAGATTAACTAAAACACAATATATAAGTTCTCTTAAGAATATGACATTTATCAACTTAATTAATATGCTCTTTCTCTCTAAAAGAATGAAACTTGGAAATTTTCCAAAGTAAGCTGCTATTCTGAAAAGTCTAGTTCATTAAAATACCATACACTAGGAAAACAAACTAAAAACCATAAGCAGAACTTGTGTTAATCTTACCCAGTGAAAGTTCATTCTGAGAAAACCACAGTGAATATCATTCACATACAACAACCAAACATAAAAAGTTTCAGAACGTTTTCTACAATCCACAGTTTTTTTGTGGACCTAGTTTCACTATTTTTACAATAATAAACATTGAAGAGATATATTAAAGTTATGAAGAAAATATTTTTGAAGCTATTAAAAAAGAAAAACGAAATGTTTACAGCAGCACGTAACATTCTAAAATCCAGAACAGAAACAATTTGGAAACACCATTAAACAAAGTTTACAACTAATCTTTTCACTCACTATAACCTTAGCTTTCTCATTTAGAGTTCATGCAACCATGAACTTGTTTTATAAAAAAGATTAGCATGAAAAATATAATATGTTTCAGTAGTCTCTACAAAAGTTCTTTCAATCAATAAAGAGCACTTATAATATACTCTCATGTGACATTCTTCAACAAACTATACCAATCTGCTTTGTACATGTATATCTTACAAAAGTCTGCTATTACATTACAAGATCTAAAATAAAATATATGAATACAAAAATATGATATATATATATATATATATATTATAAGTCCATTATTAACACATTTATATTACATTACTACAACAAATAATGAGAGGTATTAACAAAAAGTATTATTAAAATTCACAGAAGATAACATTTCTAATCATTACTAAACATGTATATTGCAGACATGTATATAATATTACCATTTCTTTAATGGTATTCACATGTCTGAACTTATGAGTCAAAAACATTTTACATAAGCTTTTCTAGTTATATAAGCTTACACTGTGCATATGCTACTTGATATGCTTGTATGATTTGAAAGACCATAATTGTTTGTCCAAAATTTGCTCAAACTTGCAGTAAACCTCTGAAAATGTTTCTTTCAAAACCAAGCAGGTGTAAAGAATTATAATAGTTCCTTCTAAATGCTTAAAATAATTTTTAAACAGTTTCTAAAAAATCTATCAAATGGTCAATGGACATAACAAGAAATAGAAAACAACATCTAAATTATAGGTTTACATGATTCCAGCAAGTTAACCCTAGCTCTTGCTTCATTAAAAGAATACTCAAAACTGAAGAGCACCTTTATCATGTTCATTTATCACCGCCTTAAAAAAAATAATCGCCACAAAGAAAACACAGGATGACTAACAAACAAAAAGCAATAGATAAAGGGATTTCAGGATATAAATTACAGAAAATATATTTTATATCAATTCATAAAACTTAAGCCATTTGAGTTTCCACCCTTTTTCTAACAATGTAGTTGTAAAGGAAATACATCAGGTTTATTTAAAAAACACCATTACAATATGTAGCAGCATAAAAACACAGTTTCCAAAAAGTAACAGTAGGTTACTGAATTGGTTTTTTTAACCTTCAAGAAAGTAATCAGTTATGTTATTTACAAGTTGCAGTAAACTTTCTTAGTCAACATACATATGCTAAACATTCACAGAGAACAACTATAAACTTGTAGTCACTCAAACTTCTGTACAGCACTAACTCTTTTTCAAACTTTTCTTCAAACGTATTAGTTCTTTCCTCACTAAGACCTTTTCATCATGTTTAAACAACTATGACATGTATGGAGGCAAAAAACAACAAAATAAGGGCTTAGCACACCTCTAACGTGAAGAAAAATAGTAATTTACTAATATACAAGCCCTCAGCATAGAGGAGTATCTCCGAGGTTAATTAACTTACCTCTGAAATTACTCAACACACTGGTTTTAAAAGCACTAGCAATATACACTGATTGCTATTCTAAAAACTTAATCTCATTAGAAAGATTTAAAATCCTAAATACAACCTGTAACAAATGTCATTATAAAGTAAAATAAAAAATCCTTATTCTTAAATTTCAACCCTTCTTAAACAAGTATTTAAAACTAGGAAGATAATGTTAGGCATTTAACAAGACACAAATCGATCTGGTTCATAAATGTGTGACCCAACCTTGTGCAGCAAGTTCTTTCTCACTGCTCCACTTTTTGCTGCACAGTTAGTTCGTAAATGCATTCATTTAGCTCACATGGCAATTAACATATCAAAATAGCTTTTCATTTTCTTAAACACTGTTCAAGTGAGGAGTTTCCCTACCAGTTAGCTATAAATCTAATCTTTAATCAAATACACTTGCTCAGGAGAAGGTCCTGAAGTTTGAACTATAGTTTCAAAGAATTCCCTCTCCAGGTGCGAGTTCTGAGTAAAACTATGACTCAACAAGTAGTGTTAAGTTACCACTGAAGATCGTAGAATGGGAAGAATGACTAGAGGAAACAGATATTACAAGCTTAAATTTGTTTTAATAATGAAACTTTCTGTTGTTCGGAAATATACTCAATATTGTGTTCAACAATCAATAACAGTACAAGCTTTGTGAAGTCTTGTCATTACAAATGACTTCTTCAGTGTAAAAATAAGAAAAACCTTTGAACAAGAATATCATGCTATCATATGCTTATGTTTATAGTTACTTTACCATCCCTAACCTAACAATTTACAATAGTTCCACTTGAATAACGAAGTCCCAAAATTAATAATTCTCCCGAGTTTCTGCTTCTTCCTAAGTCACACGTTATACTTCAATGTTTTTTATAAAAGTTCATTAAATAAAAAACAACATCTTTAAAATGATTCTTTATCCTTGATAAAACTGTTTTACCTGAGATAATCTCAATATGCATATATAAAACTACAATTCTTGTGCTTTGATTTAGTTAGCAACTTTGTGATAGAACTAGCCTAATTAAACTCTCCTTTTATCAACAAATTTTCTCTTTAAAAAACAAACAAAAAAGTCATCACATAAAAAAATACAATTTATGGTTTATAAAGAGACCAGTTCTGCAAAATATTTTCAATTTCTACAAAAATAAGTGGTTTTTCTAGCACAAAACTATTTTTTTTAGTTTAATGAAATATTCTATTGCAAAAACAGAGATGTTCTTATAATGGGTCTCGTGTTTGTTATTCAAATGGAAAGTATATTAAAAATTTATAAAAAAATGTGCAAAAATATATAATGAATTTAATGCTAAACTTCAGTTTCTACTACTGATCAATATATTTTATAAATAGAGCTCTTAAATTTCACAATTTCATATGTGTCCAATAAACAGAGCATGCTTACCTTTAAAGGTATTCCTTTTGTGAAAGATGAGTGTACAGTATTTAACCACAGCAACAAAAACCTTGCAAGATTACAATGATATTACTACCAAGTAGTAATAAAAGGTACAAACTCTTCTATATATGATCTAATCTTTTAAAAGGTACAGTAAGAAATCAAATAAATTATTCATAAAAAAACCTTCTAATATAAGTTTATACAAGCTGGGCTACTCCACTCAAATAATTGGATTTGACCAATTCTCTTCTAATGCACCCATGGCCCCTGTCAACAGCATCCACCACCAACTCTTGGGTTACTCCACTCAAATAGTTGGATTTGACCAATTCTTTTCTAATACACCCATGGCCCTTGTCAACAGCATCCACCACCAACTCTTGGG